CATCATGAGGCATGGAAAAGAACAACGTGTTTTGGGTTGTCATAGTGACATTAAACATAGCTAGGCTGGAGTGAGGGGCCAGGAATAATGTTCTTCAGTGTCTGTGGTATTCCCACAGCTACCTTGCCATTAATGCACCTCAGCTGAGTCATAACCTAGAATAAGAGCACCAAGGTCAGGTTCTTGTAATAATCTTTCTTTACAGTTAAGGCTGCAGCTGTGAGAGCTAAGCATGGTCACACCTGTGAGGAGAGTGGTCACTGATCTCTTTTCATGTAAACTAGAGAGAACACACTGAAGTTGGCACCTCAGTTGTTTGTATCACTCTCCTTTAAAGCACATCATCGCTATTGAATCTGTGAACAGTTTAGACATACTCCGCCCACCAAGGCCACAGCAGAATTGGTTTTCTTTGATGCGTTCTTAATGTTCTTCATAAAGGAGAGCCTGAAAATGATTTTTCAGTGGTTTTCAAAACCAAACTACTTTAGCATTAGCACTTATTCCTAAGTACTGGTAAAGGAGTCATGAATATTTATTTGTGTGTGTGTGTGTGTGTGTGTGTGTGTGTGTGTGTGTGTGTGTGTGTGTATTTGTACTTTCTCCTAGGAAAACTTTAAAAAGGCAAAAATATCATAAGAATCAAATGTCAATAGTATATCCAGGAGTAGGTTAATAAATGTGTCTCAAGGTGGACTCTGCAGAAATGTGTTAGTTGGTTGATTCCTATGCTCTGAAATGTATATGATGTTAAACTTACAGCTATTACAATAAGTACTCAAAGGGCTGGGGATACAGCTTAGCCTTAGAGCACTTGCCTAGCATGTGCAAGGCCCTCGGTTCAAACCCCTGCATCACTACAACATCACCCCACAAACAAAAAAAAAAAAAAAAAAAAAAAAAAAAAAAAAAAAAACAGGGAAAAGAATGTTTTTCTTCAGTTTGTTTTGTATATTTGTGTATCTGAAAAAGACCCTTTTGCCAAAACTATTAAAGTCCAATTGTTGACCTTTGATTTTTCTGTTGCACTTATTTCTTTAGTTGCTTCACACCAGCTATAAAGGAATTCATTTACTATTTGGTACTGTGCTTACAATATTGAGAGCTTTATTGTTTCTCTAGACTTTCAGATCTGTCCACTCTGCAGCCATGGGCACACCTGTCCCAGGATAGCTATGAATATGCCCAACACATTTGTAGTCACAGTGTCATGTTGCAGTATCAAAAGGTTGGACATCCCTGATAGAACTTGTTAACTTTTGTAGCAAAATAACCCAGCTTATACTTCTTCAGTTATAGAGTAAGAGAGAAAGTGTGAGAGATAAATGAAGAGATTAGAGTCAGGTTTTAAGAACTTGGAGATACCTTAAATACTTGTTAAGCCCTCAAGTAGATCACCAAGGGGTTTGGAGTCTTTCTCTGGGGTATTAAGAATAAAGTAGATAACCATTCATGAATTTAGATAGGAATTAGGATATATCCCAATATAAATTAATTATTACCTGTCACATTGTACATTTTTGTCCCTTAAAACCTGTCAGTAAGGTTTTCGCTTTAGAGTAGATGTATTGCAGCTCAACCACACTCCCCCATTCTATATACTGAGTTTTGACGTGTGATAGCTTCTTCCACAATAGGTTTTTATTTACCTATTCCTTAATACAGGATTAACTGACAAGAGACTTGTTTTGACCAGTATAGAGCTGAAGAAATAATGACATACCAGCCTTAAAATAACCTCTGAGGGTTTTGAACATTTGCACTTATATTTTTAGACTCCCACCCAGTTACCATGGTAACAAGCCCTAGCCTACACAATGAACCTAAGATAAATCAAAGGTCTATGGTCTGATCTCTGTTGTACCACCTGATAGCCTGACACATGTCAGTAAGGCTATATGACATGAGTTATTATCCCGAGAGATAAGTTTGATGCCAGCCTTGGCCAGCTAAGCCTTGCTTAGATGCACAAAACCAACCTGTAGATCTGTCAATGGTAAACAGTTTACTGAAGGTTAGGAATGAAGGCCATAGGGTTTGGGGTGGTCTAGTCAATACTGAGTAAATGGTACACTTAGTTGTTAGAGTTAGTTTTCACTGGATGACAAATTTTAAAAATGTTGAACTCCATGTTGAGAAGATAGTGAAGACTGACTACATAGTAAGCTCTTACCCTGCAAGAAGTAGATGTGGTGATGGATGGGCACAGGATTCTGGAGGCTTCCAGGAAAGGGAAATGTACCCAGCCCCCATGATCTAGAAAAAAAATTATTTTCCTCTAGCGCCTCCAGAATCAGCCTTGCCAGCACCTTGACGTTGGCACAGAGAGACTGGTTTCAGACTTGTGGCTTTCAGAACGCTGAAATAATATTGTCTTGTGGTATTTAAACAGCAGCAAGGCAGGAGGGCTCAACTCATCAGGATCCATGTATGGCCTGTCTAGAAATGCTTGTTTTGTTTTGTTTTTTTTTTCCTGTGAGACTATTATCTTGTATACCAAGCCACTAAATCACAAGCAAAAATACTTTTAACTGTATAAGTGTAAATTACTCAGTTTAAAAAGCATCCCCCAGTATTCTAAGACAGACAATACTGATTCTAAGTTGTGTAGCCTCTGCCCCTTACCAAGGTTTTCTGGACCTCAACCAGCTCACAGCTGTAAAGTTTAGAATCAGAACAGTTTGGGGCAGGGAAAACAAAAGCAACTTGCAAACACTTCACAGTAATCTGCAATTGCACAAGTTTCTCTTAGAAAACATTTTAATCCGGCCGGGCGTTGGTGGCACATGCCTGTAATCCCAGCACTCGGGAGGGAGAGGCAGGCGGATCTCTGTGAGTTCGAGGCCAGCCTGGTCTCCAGAGCAGAGCGAATGCTAGGATAGTCTCCAAAGCTACACAGAGAAACCCTGTCTCGAAAAACCAAAAAAAAAGAAAAAAAAAAAGAAAAAACATTTTAATCAATTAGACATATTTCATGGCATATGAAAAATAAATCACTTTTAGTGGAAGTTTTCCTTACATATCACATGCTAATTCTCGTAATATATACGTGCTCCTTGACTAACATGTGTAGTGCTGAGTTGCTAAGATAGGATGCACCAACTGATGATGTGATTTCACTTTTTACTTCCAATATTTCACCATACAAAGGGTTTATTTAGTTGTGGCCTGGCGCTAAGCTGGGGAGAAGTGGTCAACCATCTCTAAAATTTCTGCAAAGTATCCTTAAAATTACATGTATAATGTCAATTATTTCAAGATGTTAAAAAGTGTGACCAATGTTTTTACAGCATGAAGGATTCTTAAGAATCCTACTTTTGAAGTAGGACAGCCTATGACTAAGCATCTGAAGGAACCATAGATCATACACATAGAATCATTATCTAAAGCTTGAAGAAAAAATGAGCCCAAAGGTGTATCTACAGCATTGTCTATCATAAACCACCAGATGAAGATGTATGGCATTTCCAGGACAGAAAGCTAGCTGCCAGACCAAGAGCTGCTCTTGCAGGTCTGTTTTATATTCATTTGAACTTATCTTTAACATATGGGAGGGCTAATCCTAGCAGGTAAGAGGATATGAAATGCATGGCATATCTTGCTTTATTAAATATATACATTAAATATCTGGAACTCATTCAGCGTTAAGCAGGAGCTTGACATCCAGCAGGCAATGTTTATAAAATGCTTTTGCTGTTGCTCTTTCTGTTACCATTATGGGGACAACTCAATCCTTAGACGACAGTGAAAAGAACATTCGAAGTGCTAGGGAGCTTGCCACTTTGGGTGGCACAGCTATACAACAAAACACCCAAGTGTGTGTATGCTAAAAGGTGACAGCTTCTTAGCTCTGAAGCAGCTGTTAACATCATCTAGCTGAAACAAACTAATCATGTCTTATTTTGGTTAAGATGCACACAAATACTGGCTCCAACATGGCAATAAACATCCAGCGTCTGTGGGCAGGCCAAACTGGCACAGTTCTCCATTGTACGCCCCTGCCCAGGACAACAATGTGTAAAGACCTGGCCTGCCCACTTTTCTCTTCATCCTGTAAAACAACACTACACAGCATATTTTTCCTTGTCTCTTTCATGGAATGCATGCCAAATGTTCAAAGGAGTCTGAAGTTAAGTATTACATTATGAATGTTTTAGATCTCTTCACAGCTGGGGGTGGGGAGCTGATTAAAATGTGACCATGTTACATGAGCAGAAGGCTAACATCTGTTTAATGCTAAATTCTCTGATGACATATATGCATCTACACTATGATTCCTTTCTCAAAAAAATCAGGCACACTTCAATATTTTGTCTGCCTTCTTATTACTGCAAGGAAATCCAAGTAGTTTGTTTTGTTTCTAAGCTTCTACTTTTGTTTTGAGGCAGGGTCTCACTGTACAGCCTTGGCTGTCCTGGAACTCATCGTGTAGACTTGAATTCACAGAAATCCACCTGCCTCTACCTCTGAACAGTTCGATAAGGCTACATATTGCCAGAGGATTTTGAGCACTTGGGAAGAGATCAAAAGGACTGTGTCCTTGAATGGGTACTCAGAGATCTGACATATGAATGACTTTTCCAAGGAAGAAACTGGGAAAATTACCAGAAACACAGGGATGCAAGGAGGTGGCATGGTGAGGAATAAAAGTGGCACTTATGCAAAGATAAATGACTTAATTGTTCTTAAAAGACATAAAAATTTCAATACAGTCATAATTAAGAACTCGATTACATTTTTCCAAGTCCAAGAAAATTTGCATGTGTGGGTTTTATGAGTTCTGAACCCTGATGTCTGTGCAAACGCTTACTGTTAGATTTGCAGCTCCCTGGAGGTGGGGACTGCCTCCAGTGTACGTTTGATTCTGCAGCACCTGACATTGTACCTGGTACACACAAATGTATGAGACAGACCTAATGAGTCAATGAGCTTGATTTTTTCTACACTCTTAAGTGGGCTCCCACGCTTTAGTGCAAGGCATAAATGAGTACCTTTTGATATGTATGTATCATATATATTTATGATATATATGTGATAGCTTTTATAGATACAGTAGGCATTGTGAGTGTGACTTGCCACATCATATCCATCTTAAATACAGCTGAACGGGAAACAACAGATGTGTGTGCATTGATGCTAGGTAGAACAGATTAAACGAAGGAAACTCAGATTACAGAAACTCTATCCATTACACGCGTAAATGCCATCTTAAATAATGTGCTTCCCAAAGGGCATGAAGTAAACTTAACAAGTAATGTGGTGATCATCGACAGGCACACAGCATGATGTCTGGAGGAGATTTCCCTTTATCATCCAAAGAAGGAAATAGTAGGCTTTAATAATACATGCACACTGACATATGCACGTGTATACATAAGATATTTCTAAAGATGCTTTATCATTCACTACCACTGTTTCCTCAAAAATGTAGGGCATATGAAACATTCCCACCTCATTTGGGAAAATATATCCAGGTATTGCATAGCTTTAGAAGAGACTGCCAGGATGTAACCAACTAACAACTTACTCAACACAGGTGCCAGGCTAAGCAATATATAAATATGATCCAAAGATGCCTCCAGAGTGTCCCCAAGGCTTTGCTGTTGTTTTAATCATTGTAACTAACTGATATCTGTCACCAGGAGGAAAGTCGTGGCAAAGGGTGCCCTACCCTGGAGGCTTCAGTATGAGCATGTTGGACAGTGCACGTTGTCATGCTACTCCTCCCAACCCTCCAGACTACAGCTGTGTGCACAGTGTACCCAGGCAGACACAGACATCTGCAAGGTCAACTGACAGGGAGCACTGGAAGACTGGAGCCTGACTTCCAGAGTGGAAGCAGGAGTCCCCTGTGCTCCTGGGACCGAATTCTGGACTAATTTTGTCACTAAGGCTCATCTTGGGCACTTTCCCCTTATTAGCCTCGTATTTTTAAGCGGTGGCCATATGACTAGAAGCTTCACAGTTTCTCCCTTTCCAATCACAGTTTCAATCTGTTTAAATGTACCGTTGACATCAGTGCAGTACCTGGTTTTTCATATTTCAACTTCAGAGACAAATTTTCTGAGGTTTATCTCACAGATCACTGCAGGTTTAATTTTCTTTCTTGCCATTCACATTGAAAATGAGGTTTTTTAAACTATGTGGATTTGATTGGGTTTTGATCTAGTGCTCCTAAACCCTGTCCATTTTGTTGGCTTGTTTGTTTTTGTTTTGAACTTTTTAATTTTTTTTTTGTTTTTCATTTTCTTAATATAAGCAGCTTTGTGTTTTCATTAAGGGGTACAACATCCTGTACAGTGACAAGCTGACTGAAGTGGCCTCGGATTCTGCCAATGCCCTTTACATGCTGTTTCCCCTCTCACAGAAGACATGGCTTCTCATTCTAGCACTGGCCTGGAAAACACTGTTCTTGAACCACACAGTGCTAGCCCCAGGTTAACTAGGCAGCACAAATCAAATGGTGATTAAACTGTGAATAATATACATTATATGTATTTACACCTGCATCCAGAAACTTCCATTAGCTGCAGGTTGAAATGACAGAAGCCACTGCCTGCATCTATTCTGTGGACACGTAGCTGATGGATGCCATAACTGTTAAGACACTGAAGAAATGGGGTTATGTGGAGAGCCCATCTGAGTTAGAACCTTGTCCAACCACTGCAGTGGTCCATGAAGATGAATCTCAATCCAGCAGGGGGTGCTTGTGACATCCTGACGATGATACTCGGCTCCCCAACCCTGCAAAGCAAGAAAAGAACCCATGATGAGGGATGTCCTTCTGTATGCTGTGAATATGTTTCTCTTAGTGGTTTAATAAAACCCTGATTGTCCAGTAGCCAGGCAGGAAGTATAGGCGGGGCTACCAGATTAGGAGAATGCTGAGACAGAAAAGGAGCTCCTGGGAAGATAGGATGCTGGGAATTCTCTGGTAAGCCAAAACCATGTGGAGATACATAGATTTGTAGAAATGGATTAATAATTAAGAGCAAGCTAGCCAGTAAGAAGCCTTAGCCATTGACTAAACAGCTTATAATTAAGATAAGCCTCTGTGTGTTTATTTGGGACTAAATGGATACAGGACCAGTCAGAACAGAAACTTCCATCTACAAGCCCAGACTGAATTGTGCCCCTTTGCCAGAGATCACCAGGCAGAGCTCAGGGGATGCAGGGCCCACAGGCTTCCTGTGAGAAGTGGATTCCTCCGTGGAGCATATATCTCAGAGGGGTCCAGGTCAGTCAGGGTGTTCTCTATTATCTCACTTACAGTCAGACACCTATTTAGTGGTGATCTAGGAATCTACAGATCCCATGGGATACACTGTCAAGCTGTCTCCCCTTCACAAGGGAAGGGGCTTAACATCATGGTCTACTCTTCATGTGGAAGCCTGTGTCTACACAAAACTGCTACTCATTGAAGACCTGAGACTGGATCAAAAGTTGAAAAATTCAGTAACTCTTGATTTGGAGGATGGAATATTAGAGCTTAGAGCTTATTTCTCTTCTGTCTCAGGCTCACTCAGAAATTTCCCATTTATCTCTATTAGGAGGACAGGCATTTACTAAAATGACAGATAGATGATTGATAGATAGATAGATAGATAGATAGATAGATAGATAGATAGATAGATAGATAGACAGACAGACAGATGATGGATACATAGATGGTAGGTGTTCATATTTATCCATTGTTCATCAATGGAAAGTTATTTAAGCATTAAGGAGGGATTCAGATTATGTTTGTTATTGACAACCATAGTTCTCCAGTGTTGTTTAAAAACTGGAGAGAGGTCTCAGTGGTTAAGAGAGTGCTGGATGTTCTTGCAGAGAACCAGGGTTTGGCTCTCAGCACCCACAACCATCTGTAACTCCAGCTCCAGGGAATCCAGCACCCTCGTCTGGCCTCAGTGGGCAGCGATGCTCATAGTACAGATATGCACGCAGGTGGAGTCACACATACAAAAACCACGGTTTTTTTCTTATCAGCATTCAGCTTAACCACATTGCCTGGTCACTCATGATCACTTCTGTGGGCTTGTGGGACTGCCTGCCAGTTGACTATTTCCCATATCTCCTTCCTTTATGGATTCTTCCATGTCTGATTTTCCCTGAAACCCTCTGATTTTCAATATGACCTCATCACCAGCAAAGTTTACACTTCAGAGATGCACAATTGAACCACAGAAGCTCTCAATGAAATCTTACAATATTTTAAGTATATCACATTGATAGCTGCCCTCAGCTTCATACAGCCAAAGAGGCTGTGGGTTAGACACACCTGCACCTAACCCTCTACCACCCATGATTTTTGTGGAAAAAGAAAAATGAAACTATCAGAGACATAAAATTTCAACCATACCCATTTACACAGAAATAAATTATCTATCTTTCTAAGTGTGTAGCTCTATGCAATGGTACAACCATGGTTCTTCATACTGCCTGGCCCCCCTCAGGCTTGTTTGCTGACTATTTCTCTCCTCCCTCATTCTATAGTTGAGTCTGGGCTCAGGTCTAGGATCCCAGTCCTCTGTGTTTAAATTCAAACCTGTGGTCCTATCCAAACACATGGAGTTAGATACCATGCAAATAAGGACGTTCCCAATTTACATCTCCAGCTCTGACTACACCCTCTGACAGACCCTTTGGTTTGTCTGTCACCTCAGCATCTTCTTGTGAATGTGACTGACTGACATAAACAGTTGCTGTAACTTACACTGAACACTCAGTCTTATTTGCACACCTCACTCACCTGTATCTTCGCCATCCTATTGGAAGGCAACTCGTATCACTTGTAGCTTTCTTCCCTCACCTCCACGTCAAGCCTACATTCTGACTGAGAGTCCCCCACTTCCCACAACTCTGCTGATGCTCTCCTGGTAGAAGTGACCCCCAACTCCCACCTGGATTCTATAATAGCTTCTTTAAAATATTTTTAAACTTTTATTGTTTTATTTAATGTATATGGATGTTTTGCATGCTTGTATATCTATATACTATGTGTGTGCAGTGCTTGTGAATGCCAGAAGAGGGTTCAGATCCCCAGGGACTAGAGTTACAAATGGTTGTGAGCTACCATGTGGGTGCTGGGAACTGAACCTAGGTCCTCTGCAAGAGCAGCCAGTGCTCTTAACCCCTGGTCATCCTCTCTATCCCCTCCATGGCTTCTTAGCAGCCTTTCCCTTTCCACCTCACTGGAGCACACCTTTTCTCCACTTAGCTGCCAGAATGGCCCTTTTAAGACAGAACGAGCTGGGTGTGGTGATTTATACCTGCAACCCCAGCAGGAGAAGGAATGAGACAGGAAGATGTAGAATTCAAGGCCAGCTTGGGTTACACAGAATGACCCTGTCCCTAAACAAATAAAATAACAGGTCAGACCATAAGACCCCAATGGTGTCAGTAAGCGGGATGACCCTATGTTCCCAGAGAAAGAGGGAAACCTGCCACCACAGCCTGCCCTGTGGGCCGCTGAGAGGCATCGGAGCAGCTTCCATATGCTCTCACCATCCCGGCGCTCTTGGGGTTTGGACTCAGCACTCCTGAGATGATAAAGACAGATCCAGATAAAGAAAAACCTCTAAAGGTTTACACTGCATTTAAAAATATATGCAGGCTTGTGAGAGAAAAAGTAACAAGAGGAAATAGAGTAGCTGGGTGTGGTGGCACACACCTTTAATCCCAGCACTACAAAAGCAGAGGCAGGTGGATTTCCACCAAGAAACCCTGTCTCAGAAAAAAAAAGTAAAAATAGAATAATAGAAAAGCCACCTAAAGATGAAAAATACACAGAGAATCTGGATACTATATGCTATATTGTCTTTAAATTGTTTGATTGCCAAGAAAAAGAGTTACTTCTGCTAAAATACATTTGATTATAAATGCTGCTAAATTAATCCAACTTATACATTTTTAAAATGCTTTAACTTCAAAATTTAAGTCTAAGGACAGGCTACTTGGGAAAAAAGGTTTTGATTGTGTTTCCACAGAAAATGAAAAGCTGTGGATTCCTTCCAGACTAATATGGTTTGATCAAGCAAGACCCCCTGAAGCAATGACCCAACTGGTCCTACATCCAAAACAGCTGAGATGGTGCAGCCTTTCAGACTACAAAAACAAGGACTTGGTCAGATTTCTATGTTTTATCATGATCCCCATGGTATGAACATTGCCCTCAATCAGCAGGAAGCAGTTTAGAAGGAACAACACCCAAATCCCCAAATATTGTTTATAAATGTTTGTTTTCATTTAAATGGGGTTGGCTATAAATGATAATGAGCATAGTCAATCTCTTTTTAAAGAAAAAAAGGGGGAATAAGATATAGGAATGAATACTTTGCATTGGTATGATTTTCATTTATTGATACAACTTTAAGGTCAATTTTGTGATATGTCTATATTTCTTGTTTAGGTATTGTGTTTATACAGATCTTTTAAAATGATATACATAATTAAATACAGGTTATATAATCACCTATGATAGTCAGAACTTATAATTAGGTTAGTTAGGTTTTCTAGATATACAGAGATGTATTTGAGATGGATAGGGATTCTTCAAATCTTTCAAAGACCTACAGAATATATGGCATTTAAATGATTTAGGGTTTTTCTTGGCAGTAAGACACAACTGCTCCTGGCACACCAATTACGTCAGAAAAGAGGATGGGCATCGAAGAAACTCGTTATGGAGTTTGCTTTCAACATGGCAAGATTAGCCATTTGGGCAAGAAACTGCTCTTGCCTGGATTGTTTGTTGCTGTATAAGCTGGATATGCAGGACCCAAAAGAAAGTGACTGCTGAACTTACAAAACAAGACAGTACTGAAGGGTTCCTGTTGAAATGGAGAAGTGTGCCAGACACACTGTGGCCTTTAGGCTGAAGATGGATGCCCCAACGTTACAGAGGAACTTTGGGTGACTGTCCAGGTAGCAAGATGTCTCTATCAGTTCTAGAGTTTATATATTATCCTTCTGTGGTCTTTGATAGAGTTGAAGACAGATAGTTATGGTTATAGTTTTCTTCCGTTATTATAAAAGATAACATCCTTCTTTTTATTTAGACAGAAAAGAGGAGATGATGGGGAATATACTACTGTGTATGTTCATCTTATTGATTGTTGAATAAAGTACTATTTGGCAATGAGGCAGCAAGTTAGACAGGACTAGGAGTCAAAGAGGATTCTGGGAAATGTAGTAAAGAAGTGATGATCCAGGCAGGAAGTGACATAGCAGGGAGACTCATATTTAAGGAAGGACAAGCAGGAAGTGGTCCCTTTTCCCCTCCACTCTTCCTCCAGCCACTCGATGTGATCCACCAGCAAGGGAGGATGCCAATGGAAGGCATCCAATAAGATAAGTCTTATAAAATATATAGATTTATGATAATTAAGGCTGAGTTAACAGATGAGAATCCTAGTCATTGGCCAAGCAGCATTTGTACATAATATAAGTCTCTGTATTATTTTGTCCATCCATGTGGTGGGCAGAATTCAGGCGGCTGGCAGAGACAGCCCACATGGCGGTAGGGCTCGGGCAGCTTTTGGTGGAAAGATTTATCATAACACCACTCTCTGTCCAATGTCTCACAGCATCACCCACTCACCTTCCCCCTGAACAAGGCTGCAGTTACCCAGTCCTGCTTTCCTTCCATATCCAGGGATGTAGCAGCCATAGGCTTCTGAGCTTGGCTTTTCTCACAGAGCACCCAGGACCTTCTAGCCTCTGCTGGCACACACTGCTTCCATGACGCTTCCCCACCTGTAACCTCTCTATTTTCCTTTATCTGATTCATTCCACCCACTCGTTGCTTGCTTCCTGTCTTTCTCTACCAATACACTGGTCACAAAAGGCAGAGCTTGTGAATAACCAATGATATACCATCCCAATGCCCAGGGCAGCACTTGGCCGGCCACTGGCAGCTGCTCAACAAATAGTTGTGGACTGGCTGATTGTAGGAGAGCTATGGCCAGTAAAAACAGAGCTGAAAAGAACTTCGGAGATGATCTTCTCCTTTATCTACAATAATCGCCACCTGTGTCTAGTCATCTGTAAAATTTTAAGCAGCTTTTATTTTGTTTAAGTCCTTGCAGGGCTAGCAATGAATCTCAGTGCTAAAGCAATTGCCTAGCCTGTGCAAAGACCTGAGTTTCTTCCTCATCATCTCATCATTGCTGGGAGGAGGAAGGGGGTTGGGAGAGAGCCCATAACAGCAGTAGCAGTGTGTTTTCTGTCAATTAAAACTTGTAGCTCTGTAAATTTGCTGCATATCTAAGGAACATTTAGTTGATGTTAGGAAATAATCACATTTCTATGCATGTTTGTATTACAGTAATTACCTATGAGGTACCCACAGCTCATCCTTATTAAAAAAACAAAACAAAAAAACAAAACAAAACAAAACAACAACAACAAAAAAAAAAACATGGGCTCAGGAAAAATAACTATCCCACTCAAAGGATAGTTCACTGTCAGCAAGTTAATGCCCCCTGCTGGCTCCAAAGCAACAGTGTGCTGGAAATTTTCCAGGGGTTTCTCTACTGCTTTGACTATCAAAGATGAATAAAGCTCTTAAAATTAAGGGGTCCCTTTAAGACTTTTTTTTTTTGCAGGGGGGTGGGGTTCTTTGTGTAACAGCCCAGGCTGTCCTAGAACTTGTTCTATAGACCAGGCTGGCCTCAAACTCACAGAGATCTGCCTGCCTCTGCCTCCTGAGTGCAGGTGCACCACCACCACCTGGCTATAGGTAACTAACTTTAAATGGCTAATAAAACTTACTTTGGGGAATGTAGCTCTGTAGAGGTCACTTACCTAACTCACTGCATGAAGCCCTGGGTTCCGTCCCCAGCACTGCGTTTAAAAAGGCAAGTGAGGCCTGGAGAGATGACTTAGTGGTTAAGAGCACTGGCTGCACTTGCTGAGGACCTGCGTTCAATTCTCAGCACCCACATGATAGCTCACAACCTCAAGTAACTACAGTTCTGGGGTATACTGCCCTCTTCCAGTCTTTTTGGCACTGCATGCATGGGGTGTACAGACGGACACTCTTGCAAGCAAAACACCCATACAGATAAAATAAAAATAAATTACAGAGAAAATGAGAGAGCTCTTTATGAAGCCACAATCTTTCCCTATGTGGAGTATGTGCCACTGCAAAAACTATTATATATACCACAGAGTTTGACAGAGAAGCCCAGATTTCAGACAGACAGACAGACAGACAGACAGACACACACACACACACACACACACACACACACACACAGAGTGAGTCAGTATTCTTGGATGGAGCAGAAGGTTCATGAATCCCCCAGTCTTAACTGAAGACAGTTGATGGCTTTTAGGGAGAGCCAGTTTTCTTTAAGGCTGTGGCCCTTGGTAGCTTAACCTCAACCACACTATTTTCTTTGGGTGGTCCCACACTTAGGAATATATGGGCAGCAGAAGTTGGACTAGATAATTAAAAAAAAAAAAAGCCAAGAATCAAACTTTTTTAGAAGAACAAAACAAAGTCATCATCTGCTTGGGTTGGTTGAGCAAATGCCACATCAAGCCAGGAGCATTTTGAGCTTCCCATTTGCAACTGTACAATCCCAAAGCCGGCATCCTTACCTTCACGAAGCTCATCCGAATCGTGCACATCTTCGTCAGCTCGTACACAACTTCAAAGCCGTGGTGCACTGACTGGGCAAGCAACTGGGCGAAGAGCTGGTTATTGAAGACCTTGAGGCTGCAGCCGCTGGGGATCTTGCAGACAGTGGCAGGGTGAAAGCCATGTTGATAGTTGCAATTCCGGCTCTGAACAAAGATGCTGCTGTCGCTCACGCACTCCGCATACACCTCGCCCCCAACGTAGTACAAATGCACACCTGTGGGCACAAAAACCACTCTCTTTCTACTCTGCTCCCTTCTCAGTGACTCCCGGCACCTCAAGTGGCAGGCCCTGCCGGGGCCAGGTTAACTCTTACAGTACCGCTGGTTATAGAAAGAGAAAGTGTGTACACCAAATACCCATTTGTTTCCTTTGACTTTTCCTACAAATTCATTAAAAAGTTCAATCCTAGGGCTCTCAGCCCCAAACGGCAGCTCACAACCATCTACAGTGAACTGGTTCCAGATGATCCGTCGCCCTCTTCTGGCCTCTATGGGCACTGCATACACATGGTATGTATGTATACATACATACAGGCAAAACACCCATACAGGAAAAAAATTAAATTTATTTTTATTTGATGTTCATTGGTGTTTTGCAGGCATGTATGTCTGTGTAATGGTGTCAGAAGCCCTGGAACTATAGTTACAGACAAATGTGTGCTACCATGTGGCTGCTGGGAATTGAACCCTGGTCCTCTAGAAAAGCAGTCAGTGCTCTTACCCACTGAGACATCTCTCCAGTCCCAAGTAAAACAACAAAAACAAAAACAAAAACAAAACTTAAAGCCCAACCCACATGAATGGACATTCTCAAAGATGAGTCCATAGTCTCTCTCACTTATTACTGCTCCCACTCCAAAACATCCATGATCCTAGACAAAAAGAAACACATCATACAAAACAAAACCTCACAAAGCCCTTCATACCCTCTTATAAACAAAAAGCTACAATAGGAAGCACAGCTAATATCATGTAAATGCTACTGAAATCCACACACTAGACCTATTCCAGAACTTAAAAAAAAATCTTACTAACAGTTACAAACCTATTTCTTTGAAGCCCAGTGTGGTGGCACACACCTTCAACCCCAGCACTTGGGAAACAGAGGCAGCTGAAGTTGAGACCAGCCTGGCCTACATAGCGTTCAGGCCAGCCACGGCTGCACAGTGACACCTTGACTCAAAGCTAAAATATTTCTGAGTAGAGCCTTCAGAGATGTATTTTATTTCAGAGGCATGTCACTCAATCCTACAAGTCACACCATGTGATCCTGAGAACAGGGGCATTCCTACCATACTTCAGACACAGCCATGTAAAAACACAAGCAACATGTAGCTTGTCTCAGTTTCTCTAACATTCCTGGAATTCCATTTCAAAAGGACATCCTGGATAAACAGAGTACAGCACACACACACACACACACACACACACACACACGCACGCACACACAATGGAATCTTATTCATCTGAAAACATGTATGAGATTATAAAATGGATGGAACTGGAGATTATTAGAAATAGGCAGGACTCAAACGAAATCCACTCCCCCACTCCGTCCCTCTCCTCTTTTCTTCTCTCTTACTTGCCCTCGGTTTTTCTCTCTATTTTCTTCTGTGAAAAGCATCAGCCTGATACCTACAACTCAGGGCACTGGTGACCATGAGGAAGTGGAAGGATGATTCTGATTGGCTGAAACACAGTGCCTGTGCTGGACTTTCACCAAGCAAAGCCAGTGCTGCCCTCCTTCACCATGCCTGTGCGTGGGGGTGAGTGTGACTGACAGTGATGGGACATTCAGTTGTATAGCTGAGCTCAAAGCAGTCTGTTCAGCATTGCTCAGAGCTCCAGACAATCTTGATTCTGCAGAAGAGAAGGCAATGGAGGCCAGGGGAAAGTTGTCAAGTGCAAGGTGGAGGTGGGGGCGCTCTGCCTTTTACGGTGGCACCTCCCTGTGCACTCCCTGCACTTTAGAGCAGTGGGTCACACTACCCATCTCTGCCGCTTGACAGTATGTGCTACCTGCCACCGCAGAAGGGGATTGCAGAGACCTGCTTGCACCTTGACCCCACAGACCTGAAAGCTGGTGGTAACAGCCTGTGGGGAGCTGCTTCAGGCTCAGTGGGTATTTTAACTGAATGACCTTCAAGTGTATAATCCTTTCAGGACCTACTGCATACAATAGATAAGATTTTTGTCACCTGAGCCTGGTCTGTCTGTATTTAGGGGGTGGTTTTCCCTCGTGTTAAAGCCTGATCTGTAAACTTGGCACAAGTTGGCAGAGGAGAGAACGGGAAGGTGGGCCCCTAGAGGAAGAAGCAGAGCCCAAGGTTGACTATGTGAACCTGCTCATCCAGTAGCAGGCTGGCCTCTGGCTAGAGATACCAGCACCTTGGGAAGGAGCATGTGGTCCTGTGATTTCATTTGGCCCTACCATCGTGTAGGCCAATGCAGTGGCTTTGAACACCGTGTTGGTCAAGATCACCTCAGAGCAGATCTGTTCTCAGGGTTGAGCCTGCTTTGGAGTCAGCTGGTGGGGTGGTGGGGCATTCAAACATACTGTTCACTCAACCACAGCCTAATGAGAAGAGCAATTTGCATTTCACTACAGATTAACCCTGCCCTGAGGCTTCCACTTCGGGTGACAGTGCTGGGATTACAGGCCTGTGTCTACACAACTGGCCCTGTCTTGTCCTCACAGCACTCAGCCCATGTCACCCCTGAAGATGGTCTACTGACTTTAGAGGCAACAAGACTCCAAGAGAGCATGTCCCTCTCCAGTGGTGACACCATGCCTCGGGGTCTTTCCCATGGGCTACAGGGCCAATGCTGATTTCTAAACCACAATTTTGGCTCAGAAGCAGTGATGGGGCCATGCTGTGTGGGCACTCACCCTTTCCAATGTGCCTCCTGGTGTTTTCTATTGTTGAGTTTCTATTTACATTTGAAAGAAGCCCAAGACAGAACCTATTCCTATTATTGGAAGGGTCAGTGAAGCCATCTATGAGGACACTCCTAGAGGACGCCTGGAAAGTCTCTCCAACCCGGTTGTTTAGTTCATAGTAGGCAATGGAGCACCAGTGCTGGGGTTCCTCGTAGCAAACTGGCCGAAAGTCTGAAAGAAAACGAGAGAGAAAAGGCACTGTGTCACTGTCACCTCTGGTCTCTGAGGCTCATGATTCCAACAGGAAGCAGAAATGAATGCTTTAAACCAGAAAGCTGGATGTAGGACGAGTATGCCTTCCTTTACAATCCTTCAAACCCTCGTGTTTGATGGAAGCTGTTTGGGGCTAGTGCATTTGTTTATTGCACCCATAAGTCTAAGGCCATGGTCCTTGTTAATTTTCCACAGCTAGGGATTCTATAAACACTTCTGTTTACAGATGTAATATAATGAAGAACCAGGGAAAAGGCGGCATGAACAGACTGATGTAAAATGTTGCCAGTCCCAGAGTAAACACAGGCCAGGAGGCAGGCCACCTTATCTTTACTAAAAGACAGTGTCCTGTTGTTACAGAACTGAACTGAATCCCTATGTCAAAAGGTGCAATTTCCCAATAACATAATGATTAAAACAAACAAACAAACAATAGTTTGAATATAATAAACCAAATCGAAAGCACTGAATGAGTTTTATTGAAGAAAAAAATCTATATAGACAGGCTCACTTTCTCCTCTGTGTAACACACAGATATCTATAGGATATAAGTGTATTTTAAGGAAAGCTGGTTTCTCAGCTTTGCTAGGGTCTGCCCAAAGGTGGGAGGAGGTCAAAGGGTAACCAGGCAGAATGCAGTCAGTACAAGGGAATTTTTATAACACAGGTGTGTGTTAGGCAAATACGGATCTTGTAATTATCTCGTCCTTTAACCACCGGCCTTAACACTAAGTTTCAAACACATGCAGGGAAATTCTCTATGCAATAAGTAATGAATGGGCGGTCTGTTGGAGACAGAGGAGGGAAATGACATAATCCAAGGTGATACGTGTGAACATGCTGCATAAGGATCTTGTTAGGGAAAGACACTGAAGACACTTTGAGGGAATATGTCTCTTATCTCACCACACCGTATATGTTCTTTGAGAGTAAGGATAACTTTTGTTAATTTCTTAGTTCTTTCTCAGCAAACTAAGGTGATGATTTATTTATTTGTTGACTTAGTGAGAGTTAATAAATATTCATTAGATAGGGCTTATGAACCAAAGAGTGAGGCAGATTGTAACTGTGGGTGCCAGCTGTATGTATGCAGGCCCATGGGCACTTGTCCACTCCAGATATTATGACTCTCACACTACATGTCTCTGACCACCTTCACGGGTGTCATAGCACACACAGCATGGAGACACATTAGTGTCCCTCCCTCTTGCATATGCTTTTTCAATGCAGCATGAAGCTCCTGAAGCTTTGCCTTAGCTGCTGTCTTGGCTTCAGAAGAGAGAGAGGGAATGTACCGGCTGGTATTGGGGGCCTAGATCTGTACACCACTGAGGTCATGCACATTGTGTTTGGGGCAAAAGATGCCTGCCTTTTTATTGTTCAAAGAAGCAAGCAAACAAAAGCCTTACTTGGTCCCCTATGGCCTGCTCTCATTTATTTATTTATTTATTTATTTATTTATTTATTTATTTATTATTGTGTATGCACAACACATGTGTAGAGGTCAGAGGACAACTCTGAGGAGTCTGTTCTCTCCAACTCAGGTTGGCAGGCCTACACAGCAATACCTTTTTACCTGATGAGCTATCTAGCCAGTCCTTCCTTTTAGCACTTAACATTTTTAATTTTTTATTTGTCATACATCAATATGTTAATCTTACTTCTACATTCAGCAAAGTAGCATGTGCCTGTAAGTCCAGCATTGGGGAAGCTGGAGCAAAAGAATGTTGGGTTCAGGACCAGCCTAATCTAAAAATAGACCATGTTTCAAAACAAACAATAGTCACATATTCTGCAAATTTCTAGGGATAGTGTTAAATACTATTTAGTTTCTGAAGGAGGACTGGATCCAAATTATATGTATCTGAAGTTCCTACTCCAAAATGTGTCCAATCCTGGTCATTCTGGAGGGTGGTGGGTTAGATGGCCCAGGCCCAGAGATAGTGCTGTAAACCTAAAGGGACCACAGGCATGCTAGTTGCAACAACCACACTTATGAATACCCACATGGATCCTATCTCCACAGACTGACCTGAGTGTTGAAATGGACTGTCTGACTCAGAAGGACTTTCTGGGGAGTGTGGATAGCTGGTGGGGCCTGGAGACTGCGGGAACACGTGGCCTGGTGAGGAAGGTGGTGCAGGGCAGAGGGGCTGCTGGAAAGAGTCAGGGTAGGTGGCATTGTGCGGCATGAGGGGCTCGCTGTGCAGGGAGGCACTTCGGAACTTGGCCAGGAGGCTGAGCTGGGGGTTGTACTCGCTGTGTCTTGGTACCAGTACTGGAGGCAGAACTAGGAACAAAAAAAAAAGGAGAGAGATCACCCTGAGCTTGTTCCATCAGGATGAATGGGACAGCAAATGCTTTTCCTTGGTCATTTGTGATTTTTCCTCTGCCAGTCCCCTCTCCACACATTGGCTCATGGGAAACTCTGCATGCAGGTCCCATCTCTATCCAGGAGTCTGTGGGCTATGTTTAGTCACCAGCAACCCTTCTTGCCACCTACATCTTAAGCAGACAGTCAGGGACCAAGTTCAGGAGGCTCCCGTGCCCATCCTCCTTGGTAATGGCCTCATATCAACTTTATAGAGACCCATCCTATTGACTTTAAGGAGATCCATCTGCCTATATCTTTCTTCAACTCTGCCAATAAAGTCCTCTTTAAAAGAGGCATAGTTAGTTCCAAACATTTACAACCAAGCCCTAGGTGAAGCCCAGAATATTTTCCATTAGAGACCACACTGAATTATTTAGAGGATCAGACTCAATTTCAGACTCGTTGCTGCTGATAAAATAATCTGGGTCCTTACCACAATGATCTAGAAGCAAGTGACCAAAAGCTATCAAGTAAAATACAAATGATAAGCAAAGAAACAAATGAGGTAAAAGATCAGAGGCAACAGGAAAAATCTATCAGTTCAATTTGTTTGGGTTAGTGCTCCCTTCTGGCCTTCTGCCATCTTCGCAGTACTGAGATGGAACCCATAGGCCTCACACATGCTAAGTAAGTGTCCTAACACTGAGCCACACTCAGCCCTCTTTTACTTAAGATAGGGTCTCCCTAAGTTACCCAGGCTGGCTGGCCTTCAACCTAGTGTATAACGTAGGCAGGCACTGGGCTTGCATCCTCTTGCCTCAGCCTCCAAGTAGATGGGGTTACAGGCCTGTGCCAGCCTGGATTCCACTCATTCAAATGAACATGAGCGGCAGCTACTTATGGAGCTGCCTGCCTTTCTGAATTACTCAGAAAAGTGTAACTTTTCTGTTTTCAAGACTCTCCCTCCTCTAGTCAGCAACCAAGACTGACAGACTACCTGCTCACTCTGTTGCTTGTCATTCAAACTTAGTCTAAGATAATTGGCCTTGAGAATTTTTCCAAGTCCATTCCTAAATTTTTTGTATGTTTTTGTTTTTTTCAGACAGGGTTTCTCTGTGTCTTTGGAGGCTATCCTGGAACTAGCTTTTATAGACCAGGCTGGTCTCAAACTCACAGAGGTCCGCCTGCCTCTGCCTCCCGAGTGCTAGGATTAAAGGCGTATACCACCACCACCCAACCAAAAAGAATTTCCTAATGAACATTTTCCTATTTAGATATGTGTTTTAGAGGTCTGAGAGAGCCCAGATTTTCAAGCCATTCAAAAAAAAAAAATCTCAGATATTATTAATGAGGCTTTGTTTTGTTCAGAATCATGTTATGTGGCCATGGCTGTCCTCAAGTGCTGAAGTTTGAGTCATGTGCACTTTCAGATATCTTCCTGATAAGCAAAGAGAGAAGGCAAAATAGCATTTAGAACAAACGCATCAGGTTTGCTAACAGCATGGAACCTTCCAATCACCTTCCCAGACAGACCCCAATCCCTGTGAGCAAGCCCCACACACAGAGGTGATGTTCTTGATGGCAAGAAGGCATGTTTGGGAAACTTAAGGGATGACCTGACAACTGACCTCTCAAGTGGGCTGGGTGTGAATACAACACTACAAGAGAATACTTGTGCTGCTATCCAGACAGCACAGTGGGATGGGGTGATCTCTCCACATTCCTGGAATTAGGCAGATAGCCAACCAAAGAGAGAAGGTGCCCATTAAAAACTATTTCACCTGGAAGGCCACAGGAACACTCGTCCCAAAGAGAACATTAGTAAAACTGCTACAACCAGTGAAGATAAAGAGCTACGTCTTCCAAAGTAGGAGATATATGAAGGGATGGGACACACACACACACACACACACACACACACACACACACACGCATGCGCGAGCAGGTGTGTGTGAAGAGTTTGGGGAAAACTAATTTTCTGTATTTAAAACATAAAATCTTAAGGTTTTTTTTAAGGGCTGGGAGTGGAGTGCAGGTCAGTGGCAGAGTGCTCCCATATGGTATGAGAAACCCTGGTTTTACACCCAGCAAAAGAAGAAGGGGCCACTAAGGTGTTGTTGAGTAAAAGAGCACTGTGTAACATGTATGAAGCCCTGGATGCCATCCCAGCAAAATCATATTTAAGAACAATGGCCTACCTTCCTCAACCTCTTATTTCAGTCCTGGATTCCTTCCTTCAGCAACGTCCCTGGACTGTTTCAGACTGAGATAGGATTCCTTCCATATACCAGAGATTAGCAAAATGGAGCACATACCCACTCTTTAGTTTAACTCTAATAGTCATTGATTTCAGTCATCTAGGGGTGGGAAAAGGTAGGATGTTTAATGTATCTATTTTTTACAGTTAACCATTATTAAGGCATTTAATCTGTTAAGAACTAGGAAGGATAGCTAGGCATAGTGGCACACACCTTTAATCCCAGCACTTGGGAGGCAGAGGCAGGCAGATCTCTGTGAGTTTGAGACCAGCCTGGTCTACAGAGTAATTTCCAGGACAGCCAGGGTTACACAAAGAAACCCTGTCTTCAAAACAAAACAAAACAAAACAAAAAACAACAACAACAAAAAATCAAGAAGGAAGGAAGAAAGAAAGAGAAAGAAAGGAAGAAAGAAGAAAGAACTATTCCTAGGGCTTAGATCTCCTAAATCCACCCAAAATAAAACTGCATTTTTCCAAAATCCTACCAAGCTTACAAGCCTTTTAGTGTGAGACTATCATAAATTTCTGACTGCATGATTTTGGAGCCATTGCTTCAGTGTACTGCTCCCCCACCCCCACCCCCACCCCCCCACCCCACAACCAGAGC